GAGAAGGGTGAGGTGTATAGTTTAAAGTTTTAAGGTGTGAATTATAAATGAAGAGGGCAGGGGCACCAGACCATGTTCCTATTTTAGTCCAGTGGAAATCATTAACTGATTCACCAGAAAACTATTTTTAGTAGCCCAGGTTATGGCAACATTAATCATTAAGTTAATAATTGTGTATATAGACCATGTGTTCATATAAACACTCAAGCAAATTACCTATAACCAGTCCTTTCCCATCCAATCAATAGTCAAAGAAAGACAAATGTCTCCACAAGGAAACAATACACCAAAGGTAAGAGCTTGGAATTTCCATGACTTAATCATGCCTATTCCTCCTATAAAGATTCTGGCCCCAAAAAACTAGACTAACAGTACATCAAACAAAACATTGTTGTACATTTGACTGATATTTTCAATAATCCTGCAATGTGAGATGTATGTAGAAGAGCGATTGAAGATGGAACTGTTTGTACTCTGGGTCCAACCAGAAGGAAAGGCAAACAAATTAACAATTTTGGAGTCCACTCTTCAGGCTACTGGTGAGTATCTTTGCAGACACATAGAGAGAAAGACTGGATGTGTCATGCTAGGAAAACTGACTTGGCTGTTAGGTTTATGAAAGAAGAACCTCTTATGTATAAAATGAGATCTGGGCTTCCAGGATTCTGGACAATACCAACAGTCAGATCTAACGGTGTTCCCACAGGAATTTTATTTACATGTTTTATGAAACATGCTCCCAGGGTATTTTATTGATTTCTATTTTTTTACCAATAAGAATGATAATATAGCTCCAATTTTCACCGAGTTTGAAATAATGAAAATGTGACACACAAAGATCTGGAGGAAGAAAATAAAGGTAGAGAACATAGCAAAAGTTAAGAATTTGAGATGAGAACAAAAATGAGATTTCAGCGAAGGAATGACATAATCAGACATACACTTTGGAAAAAGAGGTCTGCCTGCAGTGTGGAGCAAGACAAAAATAGAAACAAGATGATTGTTTAGGAGGCTGGTAGAGTAATTTAGTAAGAGACCACAGCAGCTGGACAATGGAGTCAGAAAAGAATAGGATCAGGAGTTATTTAGGTGAGAACAGCAATACAATTTGGAGTGACCTGATATTCCCTGAGCTTATGAGCACAGAAAGAGCGAGTTTGGGGGAGTGATGAATGTAGTTTGGGACATGACAGCCTTGAAGTTAAAATGGAATATTCAGCCAAACACGGTCCAAAGTAGCAGCCATTCCATGCTCAGCAGGAACACCCTCACGCAGTCCTTCAAAGGAAACAGCATCCAGGGTTTATTCCACTCCTGCCCCAACAGAGATAGTTCCAACCAACTCTCCTGTGTTCTAGTTCTTGTGCTCACATCCATGTCTACACTGGCCCCCAGGGAAAAATAACAGGCAAAAAATCCACTGTAGAGCTTGTGAATGCAGATATGGGGCCCCACTTTGAATGGCAGTAGAGCATCGTGAAGTGGCCATAGAATCATGTTACAAACGTGCTATGAGCCCAGCATTGTGTAAGCATTTCCACAGGCACTGTCTTATCACTTTTGTCAATCCTTGTATAATCTCGAGAGGAAGATAGCATATTATTACCTTGCTAAAGACATTAAATACCTTATCCATAGTTCATTGTCTGGGAAGTGAGGTCTTGAGCTGGGTGATCTGACAGATGGGCACACTCACTGGCATATCAGCTCACATGCAGATGCAGAGAAGAACTACATCCTGAACCCGTGTGAACTCACAGGCATGGGCAGGGTTAATAGAAACTACTTTATACTCTTCCCTTGAGAGTGGAAAGAGAGGCTGTCAGGGTCCCTCAGGGTCCCTCAGGCCCAACTGTTTGCCTCTTCCCTACACTGAACAATGGCCAGAAAACATAAATGAGCAGGAACTGACTTGCCCATCGGTTCCTCCTTCTTTCCTCCACTTATTTCTTCAGCTGGTGTGTCTCTCCCTCTTGCACACTTTCTGTGTGTCTGTCAGCATAATCTTTCTTCCTTCTGTTTGGCCCAGTTCCCAAGATTACGTGAGTGCTAGCTGTTTAAGGGTCTGTTTGAAGGGGCCTAGGATTTGGAAAGAAAGACGGAGTGAATGAAAAGCTCAGGGCTCCATTTTCTAGGAGCCATGGACTGAGCTCTGTAACTTTCTTTCCTGAGCAACTCCCACTTACAAGCTGAGGTCATGGTCTCCAGTACCTGGATATATGCTCCATACGATGCATGCCGAAAGATTAGAACAGATAGGCAATTATGCACCTGGGTTAAGAATCACCACGTAAGTGTTGTTCAGGCAGTTTCTGGGTCAGACACGTGACAAGGACCCACAGCCCTAACCTACAGGGTGGAATTAAGTGTGCGGCTGTGTGGGTGGGTGTATATCCAGAAATGCTTTTAAGTTTTTATGCATCCGTCTATTTATATTCTCTTCACTGTGTGATCTGACTGCCAGTGATACTACTGATAATATAAAATTTAATCTAATAAAAGATTAGATATAATCTAACAAAATCTAATAATTTATTACATGCTTGCCATGTACCAGATGTTACACTAAGGAGTGGTTTTGGGGGGTATATCTTATTTTGTCCTAATAACAACTAAGAATTAGAGATATTCAGCCCTTTTGAAAAATAGAGAAGCCAAGGACCACATAGTTGAAGTAAGCAACTCACACTGCTAGCAGGTTACTCAGCTCTGAGCAAAGTGTCTAGCTGTCTGGATCCACAGAATGTACTTTGTGCCAATATTTTATGGAGACACTATGGGTACTTGTGTGTGTATCTATCAGAATAGATGATCACATTTAATAACATTAATACTAATTACTTTATATCATCTAATACCTAGTTGATATTAAATATCCCCAATTATTCATTGTCTCCTATTTCTGGTTTGTTTAATAGGATCAAAATTGCATTTGATTCTTTTTCTTAAATTTATTTTAATCTAGAAAACTATTTCCTAATGGCATCAACCTGTGGAAAAGACCAGACTGTTTTATAGATTGCCCCACATTGTAGATTTGTCTGCTGTGGAATGACAAGCCTCAGAGTTAACTTTTTTTACATGCCCATGTGTGTGTTTGCATATGCTTTGGATGATTATATGAGTATCTGTTGTGTTTGAGTACATGAAAACATAAAATGTAGAGACTTTTCCTCAGGTATGTATGAATAAAGGATGATTTCAGACAAGCTGGAAGAGCTGTGAGACAACATACATGGTTTCAGGGTGCTGACGCCATGCACTGTTAGGAGTATGCGAGCAGCACAGAAGAGAGGTTTCCAACATGAAGGCTGAATGTTCTAATCAGACCTCCACTTTGCGTGCTAGGAGGTTCTAGGACCCCAGGGGTAGGAAAACAAAGATCAACATGAGAAAACTGGAGAACAGGAAATCTCAGCAGATCGGGGCTGGACAATCCCACTGTCTGAATTCTGGACTATGTCCCCAGAACCATATGCATCATGGAGACTGTAGAGGAGAGTTTGAGTTGCTACAAGAAATGTGTTTTTGCTCATAGATAAGGGAAGATCAGAAAGAAAAGAAGAGAGCGTCCTGTTTCTCTTCTTTTAAATGTGGGAGAGTGGAGAAACTAAGGGTTGGCCTGGGAGCTGGAAGGTATGGTAAACTGGGCCAAATAATGAGATAAAAATGGAGTAGGGATGAAGCTGGATGGGAGTTTTGGTCTTGTTGGTTCAAGAAATTTGAGGTGCATGGCCATCACAAGCTTCCTCTTAGTTCCAATCTTGGGAGTTCTTGGTCTTTCTTTATGGCTGGTTATCAATGGATTATAAATAGCTTTCTAGTAAGCACATAACTGGAGAAGAAGGTATATGAGCCTAGCCTCTAAAAGAGCAAGTCCCCAAGTAACGATTTTGGGAATTTACAAAACAATGACAGTGTCAAAATCCAATCGTGAAATATTTCGTTTATATTTTCCTTAGCATGTGTGCACACATGTACGTATGGTCTATGTGTGGTGTGTGCATGTGTGTGTGAGACAGAGAGAGGGAGTGGAGGAGTTTATGTTTGCGTAAGATTTACTGTGGGTAAATATATGATAAAATGTATAATAGAATCTATGTGTAGATCAGAGTATGCTTGAAATTGTATGTAGTAAGTGTGTGTGTGTATCTGACAGTATGTGTCCTAGGCTCTATATATCTATAGAATGTATGTTCACAAGGGAACAATCCTTCTTTTGGATAGAAATCTTGACTAATGGTGTTAAGGCCAGAGTGTTAGGATATTATACATCTGTATAGTGTATAGGGTGCTAGAAAGTGATATTTTTGGAGGAGCAAGAGCTCCTGGGCCTCAGTTATAGGAGACTTCTAATTTATATTTAAGTTACATGTGTTATCCAGCATAGTGTAGGAACTTGGCTAGTGTTTATTGAACTGAGTTAGGTGTTTGGGTGGCAATAAAGGGCATTGACTTCACAAATTTAAGAGCCACAGTCATCAGGTAGCTTTGAAAAGTGCAAGTAATTGCCTTGGTGCAGAGACTGATATTCCACAATGACAGAGGACACAGATATTAACCAATAATGTCCATAAAGTTATATAAACTATAATCCTCCAACCTATGGAAAATATACCCTGAAATTTGTTAACTTGTATTAGGGGTATATTATGCATAATAAGAAGAGTGATTGTAGGCAGTCTGGAACACTGCCTGGAGAAGTAGGTAAGCCAGCAGAGATGTCCGGAAGAAAGAAGATAATCTCTTTACGTAGAATGACTATACATCCCACTAAATCTGAGACAATCCTGATTTGTGCCTGTTACCTGCCATTGTTATAATACCACCCATTTTTTTACTTCAAAGTTGTCCCCCTTTAGATGATAAATTATATGGTCACCTTATCTTTAGAAGTCAATAATGATAAGTGGGGGAAAGTGAGATTGACTCAAGTGACCCTAACTGTCCTTTACTACCCTCTGTCCTCAGGTGCTGGGACTTATCCACTCCAGTCTGCCATGGCCATTTTCAACATGAGCAATTACAACACAGGACCCTTTATTCTGGTGGGGATCCCAGGTTTAGAGCAATCCCATGTGTGGATTGGGATTCCCTTCTGCATCATCTATATTGTGGCTGTTGTGGGAAACTGTATCCTTCTCTATCTGATTGTGGTGGAGCGTAGCCTTCACGAACCCATGTTCTTCTTTCTCTCCCTGCTGGCCATGACTGATCTCATCTTGTCTACAGCAGGTGTTCCTAAAACACTAAGTATCTTCTGGCTTGGGGCTCGAGAAATCACATTCCCAGGTTGCCTTACACAAATGTTCTTCCTCCACTATAGCTTTGTGCTGGATTCAGCCATCCTGATGGCCATGGCATTTGATAGATATGTGGCCATATGCTTGCCTTTGAGATACACCAATATCTTGACCCCCAAGACCATCATCAAGATTGTTATGGGCATCTCCTTTAGAAGCTTCTGCATCATCCTGCCAGACGTATTCTTGCTCACACGCCTGCCTTTCTGCCGGACACGCATCATACCCCACACATACTGTGAACACATAGGTGTGGCCCGGCTCGCCTGTGCTGACATCTCCATCAACATCTGGTATGGTTTTTGTGTTCCCATCATGACAGTCATCTCAGATGTGATTCTCATTGCTGTTTCTTACACTCTTATCCTCTGTGCTGTCTTCCGCCTCCCCTCCCGAGATGCCCGTCAGAAGGCCCTTGGCACCTGCGGTTCCCATGTCTGTGTCATCCTCATGTTTTATACACCTGCCTTTTTCTCCATCCTTGCCCATCGCTTTGGACACAATGTCTCCCGTACTTTCCACATCGTGTTTGCCAATCTCTACATCGTTATTCCACCTGCACTCAACCCTATTGTCTATGGAGTAAAGACCAAACAGATAAGAGACAAGGTCACACTTTTGTTTTCTACCAAGGGTAAAGAATGATGTTCCATTGTGCAATGGGGAAGCTGGGATGACTTTGTAGCATAAAGTAACATAACAAGAATTTTTAAAAATGCTATTTAAATTAAGAATTGCCTGCAGGTATTTCTGCATACCAAGAAAATGACATGATCTATATGAAAGAGATGGTTCTATGTATAAAAAATACCTTGATGACCTGTTGGCTTGTGGAAAGTGAAGGTGCACAGGATATGATTAGAAAGAAGAGGTGAAAACACAGAGCTGAATTACTCTAAATGGAAAAAATAATAAGAATTTGGAATTCAAGACTTGTAGCTATGGAAAGCAATGTGTTAAGTGAAATAGAGACACTGAAGAAGAGATATTAAAAGTGAAAATATTAATGAGAAATTTCTCATTTAGTGGATTAGTAGATGGATTTAGGAAATGTATAGTATTCAAATCTTATTATTGTCCATGCTATACTTATGTGATTCCCTTTAAATGTCCCATCTCCCAAAACAGACACTTTTAGTATAAGTCTACTATAAGCAACAAGTTCTAGCAATGGTACTATACAGAAATGGGAATGGGAGAAGTAGTGTATTTACCATGTTAGGGTTGTTAGCACCAGAGGTGATAGAGGAGAAGAGCTTTTAGGCCTTAAGACACATTGAGGGAATGAGCTACAGAGAGAGTGCTCAGGAGAACATGACCCTTGAAAACAGTTGGAGATCTGAGACAAAGGCTGGACTTCTCACAATACATAGAACTCAAGCCAGTTCATTTGGATAATAAATTAAAAATTAAACCCCACTGGCCAGAGGATTTATGGAGTTCTTATCTATAGAGTGTAACGCTTTGCTCACAAGAGAGAATCAGTTAAAAGATACATTTCTGTAGTGAAGGTGGGGATGAGAATAGGAACTTTACATTAAACTAACATGTCCATGGTAAGATGCATTCATAAGATAATAAGCACTAGCATGAAAAATGGCATATGTTGTGATCAAAGAAAGATCTAGAGTTCTTCCAATAAATCTTTTTCAAAAAATTATTTGCTTGGAAGTTATTTATTAGGTGCATACTATATAACAAATATTGTTTTAAGTGTTCAGGATATGAAGGTAAATGATATGGAAGAGGATCAGCCCTGCTTCCATGGAGTCAATATTATGGGGAGCATGACAAATACAAAGCAAGGGAAAAAATTCATTACTTGCAAATAGTAATGTAACCAAGAGAATAATACACTGAATACATGATGGACTAAAGAGATGAGAAGGACAGTGGAAGAGGGGAGAGCAAATGTGAAGACCCTGGGGCTGGAAGGAAACAGGGTACCGTGGGTTGAGGACAGAAAGAGACCAGTGTGGCTGCAGCAGAATGAGATGGGGATAGCTGATGAGGGACGAGAAAGAACAGGGCCAGACCCCTGGGCTGGAGTCATTCAAACCTCATTCTTGGAAGAGGAAACTGAAGCCCACAGAGCGAAATGACTTTTCCAAAACATACAGCATGGAAGTTAGGAATGTAGAGCTAGAATAGAATGTACTCCCTCCGAGTTCAGAGATATTGCCATTGAACACCACCTCAGTCGTGTGAGAACAGGCTCCAGTGGAAGGGATAAAATATTTAGGAATATCAGAGTCTATTTTTACTGTTTAGATGAACTCTAATTTTATTATTAAATTAAGCCACATCTGACTAAATGAGGATTCTGCTCTCTGTGCCAGCTTGCTAAAAATGTGTATGAATGTTGGAAGACATAATCTCTTATTCTCTTCTGGTTATATTCTGCTGAGAACATGGATTGGTCAAGAGTTGATATTTTTAAATCTTTACAGAAGGAATAATAATAAGTAAAGTCTGAGCTGAGATCATTTGAAAGCACACACTCTTTTCATGCTGATAGGAACTCAAACCCATGGTTACTCACCAACATGCACAAATGGTTTTCATGGAAGCTCAGTGATGGAGAAAATACAATAAAGGGATTGTCTCCTGCACTCTCTCCCTTTCCTTCTCCCACACTTTCTCTCTTTGGCCCAGTTATCTGTAATTATTTTTCTACCCTCCTTCCCCAGTAGAGTTCGTTTATTTCTATGGCTTTATGGCCTCTTTGCTGGTAACTCTGTATCTTAGTTTCTATATGTGATATTTCTGATAAATTTCAGTGTCTACTTTCCTACGTTTTAGGGTCCATATTGTGATTAAGGTTAAAATATCCATGAATGTGTTTTTCAGATTGTAAAATATCATCTTGATATTAGCTGTTATGTTAGTATTTTTACTAATTATCACTGCCATTCTCATCTAGACTCAACATGTTTAAACCTGAGCTCCTCATCATTGATTAAAAATTTCCCACCACTTCACTCTTTATGGGAGGGGAAAACAGGTTAAATAAGCCTAATTTTGCTCTTCCCTCAAGATCAAACTTACTGTCCTAGCTGCCAATGGCTCTTTCTGGTGAGACTGTATTCCACTGTCAGAACATGAATGAAATTGCATTTGCACAGATGGCTGGTTGTTTATGGTCTCTGGGCCATATCTCAGTAACTGCTTTCACAACCTCTAGGTTATAAAGTACACATAAACTCCACAAGGGAAAGCTCTAACACAAGAGAAGCTTATTGGATTATTCTAGAATATCAAAACAGACAATTATGAGAATTTTGTTGTTTGGAAATGTGAATTTGTTCTGGGACAGTGTAAACACAAATAAACTTCATTCAAACTAGGTCTAAAAACAAAGATAAAACTGTGGGTAACATATTGTGAAATATCTGCCATTAATTCTTATGTGCCTATAAATGGAAAGGAGCACCTTTTCTGAGGGAGGGAGACATTGTGACACTAAAATGTCTGCATTAGGGTCCAGCAGCTAGCCCAGCGGGTTATCTCAGACAGCCAGAGCGTGTCCTCACGCTGATTCTTTCCACGTTGCACAACCTTGAATAATGTATTAATCTTCTAAACTCAAGGCACCCTGCTAAGTGTTTTATGCATATTACTGTAATTAATCTTCACAACCACCTCCTTCGGAAGATACACTAAGTGTCATTACACAAAGGAAAAATAATTAGGACAGAAGAGTTAAGGAACTTGCTCAAGACAGTGCAGTAAAGGAGGCTTATTCCAGCCAGGTCTGCCTGATTCAGAGCCAAGGCTCCTTCCCACCAAGGTGCTTGTCTCTTTGTAGGGCTATGGGACAGAAATGATACTGAATCACGGTGACCGTCCATCTCTAGATGGCACGTGAGTTTGTCCTTTGTGTCGAGGGAAGCCCGTCTCATGTGAGTTTGCAGCTGCCTCTTCCAGGGAGACACCACTGCAGAGACCTCCCTGCTCAGTCTCTACCTTCCTCTACTGGTGCCTTTCTCTACCAGTCCACAGCATGTCAGGCATAGAAACCTGGGGACCGGGAGAGGCAGCAGAGATGACTACAGGCCTCTGCTAATTCCTCACTAACAGTTCACAGCTGTGACTAGCAGCTTCTCAATCCCATCAGGGGTGCAGCATCCATGCCCCCTGAGGGGCTCGGACAAGAGACCCATAAATCCTTCTCACCACCCTTGCTCCCTCCCAGGCTTACCACAGGGGCACCTTTGGAGTCTCTGAGGTCTCCAGTGCACTGACTACAGAAAGGACAGGCTGGAGCAGCTGACACTGATGCAGCACTGGACAGACAGAGGCTGGCTGCCCATTCCTCACCTGTAACCCCACCTCCACAGCAGCAGTGAGAGGTTCCTGCCCCATCCACGGCAGGGGTTCATCGGCCAGGTTGGTCACACTCTGGATAGGATTTGAGGCTCCTGAAAAGCTCTCCTGCCTATTCCCTTACCCAGATTTATTCCCCTATTGAACTAAACAATGAACTTCTGCCAGAAGTGCCAATTCTCAAGGAGAGGCTCCAGAAACCTTCCTTGTCCAAAGAACTAGTTTTTCTGAGAATCACTTTGGGGTGCAAAGGAGAGCGTGTAATGCAGGGCTGGGGCAGCTGTTAGGTTTGAGAACGGGGACTGAGTCGCCAGCACTCCTTTGCCCTCACTCACCATTCCTGGCTCAGAATGATGTGAGAAGTGGAGGCTCGGGCCGAGAGCAGGAATTAGAAGATAATGCCACCGATTCCCCATTTCACTTAGAAACGGTTTTGTATCAACCTCCTTGGCTTCAGCAGTAAAGAAGTTCCTTCTTTGGTCTAATCAGATCTAATCTGGATCTTTCAGCTTGCCTTTTAGCCATTTTCTTCCTTTTTTTTTTTTTTTAATACTGAAGATCATTCTGCTTTCACACCTTTTTGTTTTTTAAGATATGTTAAAGGATTGTTGATCAGATTATGAAACCAAGAACTAAGAATGCAGTGGAAAGGGACTCAGAGGAATGGGTCTGGGAAGAAACAAAATTGCTAAGGATAATAATGACAATATTATCTAACATGCATTGGGTGTCTACTGTGTTTCAGGCAGTAATTGCTTTACATATTATTTTATTTATCCTTATAACATTCCTGTGAAGTATGTGTACTTACTATTATCCCTAATTTGGAGATAAATAAATGGAGACATATAGAAGTATCATGTTCAAAGTCCACAGCTTATATGTTGCAGAACTAGGATTTGAACCTAGACAATGTGACTTCAGAGTTCACTCTAGATCTTAACCCCTGTGAAGCGGGATAAACAGGAACACGAAAAATGTAATTCTGTGTCGTGTTTCCCTCTCACAACTCCCTCCTCCAAAATAAGGCTGGGGATCCTATCTGCTTAAACCAAAGCTGGAAGTGATGAACTGATTCATAATGAGAAACCTGAGACTGAATGCATGTTGTCTGAGTTCATTTCTTGAACTCTTTTCATTCTCCCTTGTTTTCCCCTAATGTTGCTGGCTGCATTGAGTATATTCTTTGATGTTCTACTCTTCCTTGGAGGGAACAGCTTGTCCCTCAAGCGCCTTTGGTGGGACACAATATGTGAGCAGAATGGCTCTGAGGAGCCAGAGGCACTCTTAAAGGGATCAACAGAAAAAGAAGAGGGAGG